TCTCTTAATGATCACCTTTCAACACCTGGGGGCAAACAGAGGACATTTGGTTGTTATTGTCTTCAGGAACCTCTAAAATGTTCCATAAGTCATAAATCCTTCCTGATTGTCCAATGAGGCTTTAGAAGGAAATGATTGCTGTTATATCGGAAAAAAGAAAATGGGACTTTGCCTCGGGACCCGTCCAGCCCCCAAGAGTGTCGTGTTCTTCAACCATTAGAAGGTTACTTTAAGTTTGGCTGCAAAGAGTCTATCGCCCAGAGGGACTTATGGGCATTTGTGACACCTGACCCAGTCTTATTTCTGCTCCAAAAGTAAGTAGAACATTTAAATATTTGCTGTCATTAAGAGAAATTAAAGGAGACTGGAATGATGCAATTATCAGAAAATAACTTTAAATTGTATCAAAATTTTAAAAAGGGAAAATACTTTGTTTTCTTCTTCTTCTTCATAATATTATTATCATTATTATTATAAAAAATACTTGCTACTTTAGTATTCATAATTACTTTAAAAATTCACAATGTGTAATTTAAAAACCTGCAATATGTAGTAGAATAGAAACGTTTCAAAGAATCTCAAATCAAGACGCAAATTCAGTTTGCGTTCATGCTCATAAATCATTTCTTGTTGTTTTAGTCCCGTTCAGAGCTTTGCAGAACGACTAGTACAAGATAAGGTCTATAAATATTAGCACAAATTAGAAAATATATATTTTTTAAAAACCACAGAGGGGTCTAAACGAAAGAAAAGACAAGGACCAGAATCAAAATGCACAACAAACATTTCCATAATTTAAGCCTCAACATCCTATTTGAACAAAACCAATCATTTGTAGTTTCACCTGTTTTGTTTCAGTGCTGTGTGTTATTCAGGCTCCAGCCTGGCCAGGTTGATCCAGCTGACCTTTTTATTAGACCCCATTGTCCTTGTCCACTGATAGGAGGCAAACACAATCTCTGGAGCATGTGCATGAATTATTATCTAGATTTTAGTGCAAGTAAACCCAAAAACACTCTTTTTATGTCATTTCTTCATCAGATCCTGTCTTGTATTTACACTGTTGTGCATCATTCAGAGTAAGATGAGAACCAAAAACGGAACAAATAATCATGCATATATTTTGCTTAGTCTTAATTTGTGTTGAAAAGTCAAAAAAAGACAAGTCAGGGGCTGATTTGAAGAACTTTGTTGTCAAACGTTTAATGCCTATAGGTGCTATTTCCACAATATATATATTTTAAGAGACTTTTACAGATTTACTAGCATTACGTTACTTACAGTACCCTACTTGGGCTGGAAGAACATTATTGTATCTGGACTGACCAGAACACTTGGCACTGCTGCGTGCAATAACCAGGCCGTTTTCTATTTCCAGTTGTTTGCTTTAAAAATAAAAGCTCAGTACGTGTAAAATTAGAACTCTTGATAAACCATTTATCACAAAGTGAGATAAATATTAGCCACACTCTCTCACCAGGTTCAATGAAACTATAAAAAGTCAGTCAGACTGGCAGGAAAAGACGTGCCTTATTATTATTGATCAGTGAAAGAGCGTGCTTTGCTCTTTAACATCAACCTGATGGTGAACTAGCTGCACCTCGATCAGCTGTCAGATTATTGAAGTACGGCGTGAGAATTTAACGCTTGCTTGTGTTTGTGTTCCGGGAAAAAGGACAGGGTGGTTAAAGTTTGACACTTCGGGTGACATTTGGAGGAGAAAGCTGTTACAAGTGGTTGCAGGCTAATAATTTACCGTCATGAGGATTAGTAACTGCTTAATTACTGAGACTTTGTGGGGCATAACGAGAATTAGGCTTATTTCTGTGACCTTTAATTATCCTCTAAAATAAGTAATGTTCTGTGCAGTGCAAATAAATACTCTATATGTCCTTTTTTGTTGTTTTAATGGGTCACCACTGGAAGATGACACACTTTACCAAAATTTAAAACTAATGAGAAAAGCCAAAGTGATGGGAAAAAAAGTTTTGTATTGTTAGAAATTAATTATTTGACCTAAGGTCATAGTTTAATGTTAAATATGTACCGAACTGTTAATAAAACATTAAATGTGAAAATCTTCAGACGATGTGCAATAATTAGAAAATTTTAAAGAACGTTATTGGAAAATTGTATACAACTGAACCGCAGCATGAACAGAGGGAAGCCAAGAAAAGTTATTAACAAACTGCAATGTAACAAAAATGTAAACGTGAAATGTTAAATCTGATTGTGCACTTAATCTATGTTTTAAAAAAAAAAAGAAGTGACGTTCTTAAGTTATCCAACAAAGTTCAGTCAGGTCATCTGGATGGTTTCTTTTTTTTTCTTCTTTTTTTAGACATTTTGTCCTTCATCCAAAGGACTTCATCAATCCAAGGAGCCACACCAAACTCAGTCCCACAAGCAGAACACTCCCATAAGTGGACCAACTAGTTTGCTGGTGATAAGATGGTGTCTGGGGCCAGCCCTCTCCCCCGTTGACTCCTCTGAGGCAGCCATAGCTTCAGAGGAGTCGACGGGGGAGAGAGCTCGCCCTCAGTTTGTGAAAATGAGGTTGTTTGTGGCGTCTCAGATTGATGAAGTCCTTCGGATGAAGGACAAAACGTCTCAAAAAAAAAAAAAAAAAACTGTCCAGATGACCTGACTGAACTTTGTTGGATTTTTTTTCCCCTGAATTTTTGAGCATGAACTTTGATGTCATCAGTTATCTTGTTCTTGTTTTTTGCAGTAGACTGAAAAATCATCCTCTTCAAAATGAGCAGCGAAAGAGGAGAACAGGTCATTGACACCTTCTACACCACAGTTCACACACTGCGCAGGCAAACTGGAAATGAATGGCGGGGGCTTCGCTACATGCAGAAAGACGGCAGGTTCCTGGTGACGTTCCAGAAGGCCCCTGGAGACTGGAGCACATATTTAATGGACATCTTCACCACTCTTGTCGAGGTCCGCTGGAGGATCATGCTCCTTGTCTTCTCCCTTTCTTACATTTTCTCTTGGCTCTGTTTTGGTCTCTGCTATTGGCTCATTGCCCATGTTCATGGAGATCTTACAAATCCAGAAGAGAAGCTCTGTATGGCAAATGTACGAGGCTTTACCGGAGCTTTTTTATTTTCGATGGAGACCCAAGCAACTATTGGCTATGGCTTCAGAGGGATGCTGGAGAACTGTATGGTGGCTATTGTTGTAGTGACGATCCAAGACATTATTAGCTGTTTTCTTGACACCATTGTCATCGGCGTTGTCGTGGCTAAGATGGCGTCTGCTCGTAAGAGGGCTCAGACTGTTGGTTTCAGCCGCTGCGCTGTGGTCAACCTGCAAAATGGGGTCCTGTGTCTGTCATGGCGCCTTGGGGATTTCAGAGGTAATCATTTTCTTGAGGGGGTTGCCCGTGCACAGTTGGTCCGTTACAGGAGGCAGCCACTTGGCTCTATTGTGATGTCATACCAGGACTTGGACATCCAGAACCGGGACATTGTCCTCGCCACACCAACGACTATAACTCACAAGCTGGATTTGGGGAGTCCCTTATACAGGTTGGGCCCTGATGGTTTGCTGGAGGAGAACTTTGAACTGGTGGTCTCTTTCACCTACACTGGGGACTCCACAGGAATGCTCCACCAGACCCGAATGTCCTACACCCCAGCAGACATCCGCTGGGGCCAGCGCTTCCAGAACATGCTGAGAGTGGACAAGAAGTGCTACAAGGTGAACTACGCTCTGTTTAATGAGACCACCTGGGTGTCAGTGCCCATGCTCAGTGCAGAGGTCTACGACAGAATGAATCATCCTGTAGAAGGTAGTCCACAGTTACCACCAGTCATGAGAAACGGACACAGATGTCAGGTCAATATCAACATCTACGAGGATGTGATGCTGCAAACCCACTTGTAGAAAATTATACTAAACTGAATTAGTTCATTTATTTAGCATCAAGACACAACAGAAGTTGTCTCAGGGCACTGTAGCCAAACATTCACATACATAATAGCCAATTAGCAAAAGTTATCTATCTAAGGAAGCCAGCAGATTGTGTTGAATCTTCCCATCATCAGAGTCTCCATCCTGAGCAAGCACAATGGTAACAGTGGAAAGGAAAAACTCCCTTTTAACAGGAAGAAACCTCCAGCAGAATGAGGCTCAGGCCGAGCGGCCATCTGCTTTGACCGGCTGTGGTTTGAAAGAACAGGAAGGAGAAACAAACAAACACAGACTGGTTTACTGGTATGATGTACAAAGTACTTTCTATTGGAAGAAAGACAAAAAACACATGTTAAGGATAGAAATAATTACAAATACCAACAGGTAGAGTAGAGCGAGTAAAGACAGCAGCAGAGTGAGGAAATGTGGTCAATTTGTCCTCCAGCAGTCTAAGCCTATAGCAGCAAAAGGAAAACTCAAGAAACTCCAGCCAACCCTAACTATAGGATTTATTAAAAAGAAAGTCTTAAGCCCAGTCTTAAAACTGGACAATGTGTCAGCGTCACGGACAGGAACTGGAAGTTGGTTCCACAAGAGAGGAGCCTGATAACTGAAAGATCTTCCTCCCATTCTGCTTTTTGGAAAGGAACCACAAGTAAACCTGCAGTCTGAGAGCAAAGTGCTCTGTTAGGAAACTATGGAACAGTAAGATCTGTAATATAAGATGGAGCTAGGTTGTTGAGAGCTTTGTAGGTTAGAAGTAAGATTTTGAATTCAATCCTGAATTTGACAGGGAGCCAATGGAGACAGTAGTCCCTCATTTATCGCTGGGGTTATGTTCCAAACCACCCTGCAAATGAGTGAAAAATCGCAAAGTAGGAATACTATATTTATTTTAGGATATACACTATATAT